CCCGCCCGCCCCAACCCCAGACCAGAGAGTTCAGTGCTTTCACATAATTGCAAAGTGCGAGCAGAGACGGTTGGCAGACAGGACGATAAGACAGTGTCAGGACATGCTTCAAAAACGCTTAGGCAGACATCTCCACCGACTGTAATGATCACGTGCCAAGAGAGCAAAGGAGTATTTCTGACATTGTGGTTGAGTGATGACGGGCGAAGGGCACCCGCTCTGGAATGTGTCGGGTTTTGTGAGTTTTGGATGCACACCAGCCGCATCACCAGGTTGGGACATGCAATTAACACCGGGAAGATATTTCCCAAAATGACGTTTTCGGCCTGAACCTGACACTGCAGTTTGGCTCTTACACTTTTTTTTTTTTTTTTTTTTTTTTGACGAAAGCCACAGAGTTCTAATTTCATGGGCTTGCATATCACACACATGATAAGGGTTGTCAAATAAACTCCATGTAACTTGTTTCATTTTTAAAGGCCACCACATACAAACTTTCATTTTGTAAAAGGGAAGATTCAAATTGGCTTTGTGGGGGGAAGAAAAACAATGAGCTCGCCAGGAAGCACAGTGCTTATCCAAAAAACAACAAGTCTCCGAGGTGACACTGATGGTTCGCCTGACTTTGATGCGGGCGGCCTGAGTTGACTTCCCACTCAGTGACGTTGTGAATGTGAGTGCGAATGGTTGTCTGTCTTAATGTGCCCTGCGACCAGTTCAGGGCGCAGTCCGCCTTTCATCCAAAGTCCGCCGGGATAAGCACCCTGCGAGGCTGAACAGGATAAGCCATGTAGAAAACGAATGGATGGACAAATCTCTGAGCTTGTGCTACAAACCGCACAATAAGAAATCAAGCGATGTCCAACACTTGGCTGATGTTCCCCTGAGGTGTAACAGAAAAAGCAAACGCTAATTCCCGTGTGCTACATCTACACAGGAAATTAATGTGATAAAGCGGGATACTAAATCGGCCTATCCCTCCTCATGTTTCTATTTTCGTGGACAGAAAGAGCAGAAACTAGGACACAATATCCAGAAATAAACCAGGCTGTTCAATTGCGAAAAGTCGTCGTTCATGTGCATTGAGTGGTAACAACTTAAACAAGCTGTTGTCTCCCATTCCTACCTTGAGCAGTCTGCTCCTTGGAGAGCCTCCTCTCTCCGCCTCTTACGTGATATATTTAAAACATGAATTTCTTTGATCCGGCAACACTTTACCCACTCTGAGTTTCATGAGGTCTCCCATGTTTACTCTATTTGTTGACTTAAAACATGTCCTGCTAATTGGATTGAATTGCCCCTTTTTACACTGTAAATATTTTCCTCTGCCTTTTCACCTTGTTTGCATCACATTTCAAAAGGTGCTGCAACTTTAGTTACATCGCTGTAGGGTATAAGCCTTGTGAGTTGGGTGGGTTTCAATGTAGAGGGATTATAAACCCCAATTCCAGTAACGGTGGGATCTTGTGTGAAACCTAAATCAAAAATAAAATGCAGTGATTTGAAAATCCTTGTCAACCAATATTCAATTATTATTTCAACACTATGAAATTATGAATGTTCAAACAGAAAGGGTTCTTTTTCCTTGGAAAATATTAACTCAGTTTGAATTTGCAACACGTTCCAAATAATATGGTACATATGTACCACTATGTTACATCACCTCTCCTTTTAACAACACTCAGTAAGTGTTTCAGGACACTAAGTGTTGAAGCTTTGTAGGTGAAATCCTTTCGCATTTTTGTTTGAAATACAACTTCAGTTGTTCAACATTACAGGGTCTCCGTTGTCGTATTTTGTGCGCCACCCATTTTCGATGGTAGAGGAGGTTTGGACTGCTGGCAGGCCAGTCTAGGACCAACACTCCTCTACCACAAAGCCACGCTGTTCGAACACATGCAGAACGTGGCTTGGCATTGTCTTGTTAAAATAAGCAAGGGCATTTCTGTAAAAAGCCATTCCTTGGACGGCAGCATACAGTGCCTTGAAAAAGTCTTCATGTTACACAGGCCATGAGCACTAACACAGCCCCATGCCATCACAGATGCTGGCTTTTGAACTTTGCGCTGATAACAGCCTGAATAGTCTTTTTCCACTTTGGGCTGATGGACACGACGTCCATGATTTCCAAAAACAATTGGAAATGTGGACTCGTCAGACCACAGAACATTTTTCCACTTAGCATCAGTGCATCTAAGATGAACTCGAGCCCAGAGAAGCCAGCGACATTTCTGGGTTTTAATACAGTGTTGCCTGACGGACCAAAGGACACAGGCATTCAGTGTTGGTTTTTGGCCTTGTTAATACGTGCAGATATTTCTCCAGATTCTCTGAATCTTTTGATGATATTAACATGGCATGATAAACTCCCTAAATTTCTTTGAATAGTATGTTGAGAAATATTGTTCTTCAACCGATGGACTATTTGCCCACACAATTATTCACAAAGTGGCGCACCTCACCCCATCCTTGCTTGTGAACAAGTGAGCCTTTCGGGTTATGCTCCTTTTATACCCAGTCATGACACTCACCTGTTCCCAATTAACCTGGTGACCTGTGGAATGTTCCAAACCCCTATTTTTTGAGCATTCCTCAACTTTCCCAGGCTTTTGTTCCCCCGCCCGAGCATTTTGGAACGTGCTGCAGGCATCAAACTCAAAATGAGAAATTGTTTTTCAAAAACACAATAACATTCATCAACATGAACATATACATCTTGTCTTTGTAGTGTATATCATTAATATAGGATGAAAAGGATTTATAAATCACAGCATCCTGTTTTTAGTTACAATTTTCACAACGTCATTGGAATTGGGGTTTGTAGAAGTAAGATGCAAACGTGACAAAGCGGCTGCAAGCCCGTAGAGGACAAGCAAAATGGATGGAGTTTGTTTGTTTATTTTTTTTAGTCCTGATAAAACTAATGCGATGGTAACATTTGTGCTAATCTCTCCAGGTGCTGTCAAAGACAGTGGCATGCCCATATCTACCATCTGTATCTGCCATAGGGAGATATGTACATATCCCAACTTTATCGAGCAAATGTTTCGCTGCTATTAAAAGATCAAAATCAATTAGTGATACTGGATGTCTATCAAGCTCGGTGTAATAAGTGATCTCAATGTGAGTTTATGTTGACACACTCAGACTTATACTGCTGTAAAACGACCATTTCAACGTCAACCTATATCAAGCAGAAAACCATGACTCAGAACAAGACGCTGGAGCTACTCCTTTGAGTCATTCTTTTATGTAAATAATTCAATGTAAGGGCCTGACTCACCAACAGATTGCATGTGCAAAAACAGGCCCAAACTTGACAGTGCATGCAAAGAGAGGTCAAAGGTGATTGACTAACCGAGTGTAACCAGAATTGCATCCGCCAGACTTACAAAATCGCCACACAATTAATTTTGCGCATTTCGGAAGGAGTATATGGAAATGGATGAATTTCGCACATGCAATGTGATTAATCATACCTGAGACCAATTGCACCGACTCATTTAGCACTTGTGAAAGGCGGATGCAAACTCTCATACAAAGCAGCACCATTGGAGCGTAGTCAAAATAGGAGTCAACGGCAAGAACAATTTGGAAATGCCAAGAAAAATGGTCACGTCTGTTCATTAATTCAATTTTGCCGCTTCTGAATAATCTAAGTGCTGGTTTGGAGCCACTCCCAAGGAGGAGTCATGCCATATCATCAATGACTCTGCATTTGCATCTGGCTCATTTCAGCACATTGGAATAAGTGAAACTGGCTTCTTCCAAAGCAACTTTCCAGTTGTTGTTTTTAATGCCAATTTAAGAATGAGCACATATATCCAATTGCCACACAGGATGAGTTCAATCAAACAAATTATGGATTTTATGTGGTTGCTGACATCCCCAAAATCACCAGAGCAATCAATTTCTTTCCTGCAACTTGGTAATAAATTTGTTTGCCGCTTCCAATGGCACTTCATCCATAACTTCAAAATTCATTTTGCGCTTGCGGTGCTCTCCAAAATTTCCCAAGGTGAAAACCATCAAAGCTACCAAAAGCGCAAAGCCCTCCTTTAAATATGGCCGTCTCCACCAATTTGACATCAGTTACGCTCACTCAACTCAAGAAAAATAACTGACGGCAACAACGCATAGTATCTAAAACTTTGTATCAGTTGCCATTCTCAGAGGAGTTGTGGCATAAAGTGCTTCAATTAGTTTTGGAAAAACTCCAAAACATTTTGGAACCAGCATCGTGCTGTTTTGGCCACATTTCGTGATAGGTCATCAGTCTACAAAGTACAAATACTTTTCCAGGTTTTAAGCCACCCAACCACACGTACACACACACTTTGGTCTGTTGGCTGCAAGTTCACGTGGTGTCACCGTGGTGGTGTACAGGTTATTTATTTAAAAAAAAAATAAGAAGTAGAATTCAGGTATAGCATACAGTGAGAACCAGCTGTGGAACGACACTATTCCTGTTGCAGTACTAAGTCCCCATCAGAGCATTCATTCGCTTGGCGGTCCTAAGTTGAGGGGAATTTTTTTTCCTCCAGGGGACTGGGCCGTTGGTAGGAATTGTGGCCAGCCACAGTGCATCTTGACGTGGCCACGATAGGCCGGAAGTTTTTTTTTTTTTCTCCACCTGCACAAAGCCATGTTCCTGGCTGGTTCTCAATGTATATTATACTGTACATATATATTAGGGTTGGAATGGTCTTTGAAAAGAATCCAAACTGTTTGGTTCAATAGTTTCTGCTAATATCAAACGCACCCTTGTGCTGAAGTCAAATAATGCCTGCACACTTTTTGGGCTGCACAGATTCTCCCATCAGCTACAGTGTGTCACTTAAGCACCTTTGTGAAATCTACACACTCTGTGACCCTGAAGTGAGGTCGTTCCCATCTAGTTTTTTTTTTTTTTGACGTTTCTGAACATAGAAACAATGCACAACCAAGAATGCCTTCGTCAACATGAGGACAGTTAATTGCAGATGGATCTGCACTGTTGGACTGAATCTTGACTGAAGCATGCAACGATTGGGAGGGGTCTGGTCAGTGACGGACTTGTAGTGTGACATCTCCATCACACAGAAGGATATTTATCTGGTAGTCTGACAGCGGGACCGTCGTGAACAAAAAAAAATGTTGCATAGTCTGAGAAGGCGATTATGAGCACAACCGTAAAAAAAAAAAAAAAAAAAAAAAAAAAAAATTCAAAAGCAGTTGTGTGTCTTTTTTGTGACTTTCTCATGACAAGGCATGAGAGCAAGTGATGGTGTTCAGTGTTCGGTACGCTCTGCATGATAAGCTAAGCCTTTATTGCTTCAAAGCGCAACACACAGATAAAACGTCCAACTACTTTCACAAGCGGAAAGGAAGAAAATTAGATGGAAAAAAACGGGGTGGATTAATATTGGATGTACGCTGGCTGTATGGCATATTTTCAACATCAGATTGTTTTGGGCACGGTACGTCTGCAAGGCAGGTAATGGTGCGTGATGTGCACTTTGGTGACAGGCGTGGCTTTTGGTCACAAAACTGGAGGAGGGTGGATTAGTGATGTGAGGCTACGCTCAAATCTTGCTAACAGCTTAAGAACTGCGTACTCTACTTTTAAGTGAGATTCCTTCCAAAAAGAGCTGCATTATAACAAGTCCGAAAAAGCAGTAACAATCATCAAAATACACGTAGAGCAAATTGCAATTTAGTGCCCACTGTTTAAACTTTGTAAATCATGACCTGTCTAGTAAGTCTGACAATGCTATACTGCACATTTTCCATATTGTGTTCATTCTCAATTTTTTGTTTTGTTTTTTTGCCCTTCTTTGTTTCAGTGCCAATCATGGACTCACGATTGGCTCCTTCAACAAAGCTAAGAGGCTGTGCTGATGGTATTCAGGGAACACTTACCACGAAGAGTTTGAAATAGTGCAAGCTTCGTTTCACTCAGATCACTTCGATCCAAACAAAGCAACATATTTCAAGGCATCACAGTTAAAGTGATGGGGTTGTTTGTGCTTGGCAAAATTACCCTCTGTGTGCAAACAAATCAACCTTGCTTGGAGCATCTCTTCGGTATAAAGTTCCTGCTGCTTGTTGGAAGAACTGTATTTGCAGCTGTGTTTTGAAAAAGGTGCAGTTTGTTGTTATTGAGAGGGCATTCAGAGAAGAAAGAGGAAGACACAAGAGGTCAACGGTCGTAGGGATGATGCCCCCTGTGGGTGGGGAAGGGCCCGATAGGTGTCTGCGAGGTTAGCTTCCTATCCTCCCCACACCCGTGTACCCCCACAGAGAGGAGTCAGAGGAACACATATTTACCATTAGGGAACAGCTGGGGGGCTGCCTGGGACTGGACACTCCTCTCCCCTGCATGCACACGCACACCCACGCCCACACACACACATTGCAAAAACACCACTTTAGTCCTGCGTTACACTTGAACCTTGCAGCATTCCTGTTTGTCATAAATCATCTGAGCTTCGCAGCACGTACAAAGTTGTAACAGGATGAGGAGGAATTATGTCTTCTGAGCTGTCTCATAATACAAAAGGTGAAAATAACATTAGGCATTTTGGAAATGGACACTCAGACTGGCAGCAACGGCATGACAACACTATGACTGTTTTTCAAATCTTAGTGTCAACAGGTTCTTGTCCAACTCGAAACAAAAATGAAGGTGACATCTCAAGGCAAAAGTGTTATCGCACAGCATGCATGTCATGCAAATATATGCTCCACACACGGCGGAAAAAGTGAAGTGTAGTTGTGATTTGTGCGCGAGTTGAGCCTTTGGCTATAAAGCGTGAGTATTGTGAGCGTGGTCAGACAGAGTGAGGAATGGTTAGTGCTGCAAGCTGAAAGACGTGTGACAACTTGTGGTTTGTGCTTCCTATCTTGGCAGATATTTTTTAATATGAGGCTGTGATTTTCCTCAACAACGTCAGGTATATCTGCGTTCACTAACTCCAGGAAAAACACGCTTTTAATCGATAGAATTATAGTTTGACCGATTCTAGAGACGTCAAATTTGTACAAAGACTCAATGCCGCACTCAATTACATGCTAACATGGAAGAAAGTCGTTAGTTTAGGGATGGGAAACTGGCCGTGTGGCCTGAGCCTACAGTCTGAGTGGTGCCTCGACTTATTAGAAAAAAGAAAAAAAAACGGGGGGGGGGGCGGATTTGAACATTTAGACCGCCGCATACTCACGGGTTCACCTGACTTTATTTCGATTTTTTGTTTTTGTTTTGTATTTTGGCGACAACTCCTGTATCTCATGGAAAATACATGTTGGAGTTTTTCTGAAGAAGATTTGGGGGTTTCAATACAAATAAAATGAGAATTTATTTGTCAGGCGGCTCACAAGACAGAGGACCGTGGCTGCGCCCTTCCCGTGTGGCGTTTGCATGTTCTCCCCGTGCCTGCGTGGATTTTCTCTGGTTTCCTCCCACATTCCAAAAACATGCATGCTCGATTGATTGAACACTCTGAAGTGTGATTGTGAGTGTGGATGGTTGCTGTTTGTAAACGTGTGCCCTGCTATCGGCTGGCAACCACCTCAGAGCGTACCTCGCCTACTGCCCAAAGACAGCTGAGATAGCCTTCAGCACACTAGTGACCCTCCGTAAGCGGTTCCGATAACGGATGGATGGATGGATGGATGAATGGATGTATTGTTCAGTGGCTAAAACGAAGCCCGGTGACAAATTTGAGCTTTCTGGTATGGGTCGGCCCTTCCCCATAGTAGTGATGGCTTTGATTCTCTCAGTGGCTCTGCAGCACAATTGCCTTCTGTTACAAGGTCCATTTCTAATACAACATCATGCAGTTAGCTAGCAAGCTACACCTACAACCCCAAAAAACGTATCTTCTCTGGACAGAGCAGCTTGGTGTTGTAAATTAAGTCCCGAGTGTTATGTCTTTTGTGCTATACAGTCTCCCGTAATCAGTTGAAATTCAAACCTTTGTGGAGTTTCTAACTAGCAAGAATAGCCACAAATCCACAGGCTGAATAACATGTGCCACTGAGTTTAATGAGTGTCTCTGTTATGTGAACCCAAACAGAGGGGCACAACACCGAACAAGCTGGTGACGTATTAGATGATGGCTGCTGATCTCTGCTGTTTTGAAACATGTTAGCCAGTGCACTAGCTAGCCTGAGTTGTCGCAGCATCAAAAAGCAGTGCGTTGACTCTGGGATTTATCCGAGGCAGCGGAGGCTTTATTTTTGCAACGCAAACATAGGCCTATAGCAGATATTGGCAACTAGCGCCGTGGGGGCCATAATTGGCCAGCCGCTAATTATGTCTGACTCATTGTTGATGGCAAAAATTGTAATAATAATAATACATTATGACTGTGCTCGAATCAGTGGTGATTCAAACTGGGATTCAAGTTGGCGTGGAAAAGCGATTGCGAATCGTAATGTTTGTACTCTGTTGCGATCAGAATTGAATGTAATGGGGGGCTCAGTATTTTTTTACGTATATATGGGCGGGCATTCGTATGTGTAGTTTGGAGCGCGCTAGGCGGTGGCTGGGAATCGTTAGCCAGTTAATGAGAACCCCAAAAAATCCCAAGTAGGAGGGTCGACAAAGCATAGTGCATCAACACCTCTGTCGATAGACTGCTGCCAGCCTCTCACTCAAACAATGGAATTTAGACGCGGGGATAGACTTCTTCCATCGAGCCAGCTAGCTAGTCAATTGGTTGGTGAAACGAGGGTCCACCACCAAAAGGCATTAAAAGAAAAAGGCATTAAAAGAAAAAAAAAAACGACCCGGATTGCATCTTTGGTCACAGCACGCCAGGGGATTTGAAACTAATATAAAAAGATAAAAGCTTGTTAAAGGTGACAGTCAAAATTTACAGGTACAGTATAATCTCCAGTTGAAAATATAGCTTTAAATATGTCAATGTGAGGCCTTGTAAAGCACTTTGGGCAACGTATGACGTACGAGTAGATACAGCACAATATAAGTGCACTCAATTTACCATTAAAGTGAATTTTTCATTTGTTGGACTATGATGTATTTTTTGGTGGGGGAGGTACCATGAAGAAACCACTCAAATCGTCTGAAAGCTTAATTCATTCAAATTTTGCGAGCTTATTATCAACACAGTTCTGCCGTGTCTGATTTACAATTTTAATTTTCAGTTTACAGGGAATTTATTTCGTACATATACATATGAGACAGAAATAAATCACTACTACAAAGCATGCACATCCACCCAATCTGCTCCCCCACCCAGCCACCATTTCGACATGCAACATCCAGAAACAAGTATCAGCAGCCAGGGGGAAAGAGCACATACAGTATGCCAGCATGAATGTAAGACCACCTGAAATGAAAGCTAAATGTGTTTATGTTATGGGCAATATGCATGTGTCTACAAGCACGTGATACAAAGATGCATTCTTGATATGTGCTGTATATTTGTGAGGATCTTTGTGTAACTTTGAATGTGAGTGTGTGTGCACGTGCGTGCGTCTGTGTGTGTGTGTGTGTGTGTATGTGTGTGTGTGTGTGTGTGTGTGTGTGTGTGTGTGTGTGTGTGTGTGTGCGTTGCAATGTGTGGCCAACTCTTTAGATGACTGAACTCCTGAGCATGTCTGCATCTGCCTGCTATTTGTGAATGTTTATGATTTGCCAACAGCGTGAACATTTCCACATGATGGCCACTCCTTTCTGACATCTGAACCAGCATGGTACACAGACGTTTTATGCAAAAATAAACCTGGCTTTGACGGTTTAAATCAAACATCTGATTGTGGAGTTCGAATGGGCGACTGAGTAAATATTTCTTAAAGTGCCTTGTGTGTGTGTGTGTGTGTGTGTGTGTGTGTGTGTGTGTGTGTGTGTTGTGTGTGTGTGTGTGTGTGTGTGTGTGTGTGTGTGTGTGTGTGTGTGTGTGTGTGTGTGTGTGTGTGTGTGTGTGTGTGTGTCCGCGCGTGCGTGCGTGCGTACGTGTGTAGGCAAGAAAAGTGCATGTCTTCCACACTCAGCTGACTTTAAAGCCAAACACAAACAGTTGAGACATAATGGGATCAAGCACACTTCCAAGCTGAGCAGGATTTGGAGTATTTTACAAAATGGATGTCAAGACACCACAAAAGGCACTGTGGCAAGGAGGTATAAAAGACACGGCAAACGATGTATGACAGGCATCTTCGGAATACAGCAAATGCTCACCAGATTACTGATGAGGTCAGATATTTGAAATGAAGTGCTGTACAAGACATTTCTTCAAATTTGGTCAGATTTTCTTATTGAGTGAAAAATCAACAAAAAAAAAAAAAAAATTTTTTTTTAATCTGCCAGTGGGATAAGTAATGGCTGGAAACACAAATCAATCTAACCCCTTTCAGACAGTAACGGGTTTCAACTAGAATAAACCAAAACTTCAGTAAAATTTGCTTCATAAAAGAAGGGGGGAAATTCTCATTCCAAGCACTATATTGAATGAAATAAAGAAATAAACTTAATACTGATTTGTGAATTCTTTGTGAATTTTTGGGCTCTCACTCTGTATGAAAAGGTCTTAGAATCACAGCAACTCAGCAAGCTGTTTCTTCTTAAATTGAAGAGGTTTTAGTGCGTGCGAAAACTAGTGACCGAACCCCGCACACTGCACGGGAGTTCGGTCAGGTTCAGCCGCCTCACTGGGTGAGTGGCAGGAATTATAGAACTGGTGAACTGCCAGATAACCCTTTGAAATACAGTGAACATGACTTGAAAGCCAATGTGTGCCACAAAACCCACAGTCAGGCTTTCATGAAATAAAATACACACATACTGTATCAACCTTGTCTGACGTAAGCAAAGGCACACACTCATAACAACAACACAACATTTAGCTTGATTTAGAGTGCTGAGTGCTTAGAGTAAATTTCTTTGAATGCTGTTTTAATGCTGCGCTTGTATTTGTTCGTAACTTTAACTTGCTGGTTCTTTCTAAATCATCGATTTGTTTCTATGTACACTGAGAAAGGTGCAACGACTTGATGAAATAATACGGAGTAAATTCAACACGTCATTTTTCTCAGTGTAGTATGCGTGAGGATTACTGCTCCGATGTGCTTGTAAAAAAAAAAAGCAAATTCAAACTTTGGAGTCGTTCAGATATTTTTTAGATTGAGGAGTGATGTAATTGTTACTCTTAAAGTCTTAAAAATAACTCTTGCTTTTCAGCTTGGATTGCATATAAAGGTTGGTTTTCGCTTGTTACGAGTAATTCTTGCTTAATATTATTAAGAAAGAGAGATTTCCTTTTTTACTCATAAAAAGATTAGTGTTCGAATGCAAATATTCCTTATTTCAGTGTGACCACGTGGATGAATTGTTAATGAATGCAGTGCGCAATTAATAGGATGATGTTTGTCCAAGGTAAAATCAAATTTCTAGAAATGTTATTTTGAAAATCTACTAAGTTTCTCTTCGAAAGAAAATTAGGATTCACTGCATATGCCGAAGATATGTGGTTACTTCACAGTGGAAACACAGTAGCGGTGGAGGCGTTCTCGTCACTTCGTAGCTCATCAGCGCTTCATTTGGCAGCGTGTTTGCTTGCCTAAGGTTTCATTAACTAATGGAGTGTCGAGGAGTCTGACTCTGAAGTGGAATCGTGAGCTTTCAACCAAATGGTTTCTTCCTACTGGCCCATCAACAGTACACGTGCTTTGCTTTGGGGAATGGCCTGGCTGAGATGCACAGTTCGGTTGCGGTCAACTTTGTGGCATTCCGGTGGCCTCTCAATAATGAAAGGTTGGTTGACCAGACCTTGACATACATCTGGCTTGTATGTAATTTGCGCTAGTAAAGAAGATCGGCTCCTCGCCAAACCAAACTCTCAACTTTAAAAACTTCCAAAAGCAATCAATCTTAGCAAGAGCCTGTTCGGGAAGAGTGGCATCACATTCTGGCAATGTACTCGTCCGTCTGACAAGGAAACAATATCCAACCCAAGAAAAACACAGTTAATAAGCATTGCGTGGTGGTAACTACTGTAAGTAAGGCTTCCTATGGCATTCACAAGCCTTGGATGAACATCTAGAAACAGTCTTGAGCAATGACAAATCTCAAAATGACTTCCACTGACTGTCTTGCCAAAGCATTTAACTTATCATCATGTAACTGAATGCCGGCGCAAATCCTGCGAGGCCAAATGTAAAGCCCACACCAAGACCTGTGCTTTGACTGCTCTGCGCCTGAAGGAAAACTGCCCTTCAGCCGGTTCAATATGCTCTAGGAGCTGAATGATTTTTACTCAATGTAATTCAACTGAGGCAAACACTGATAAATGCCAATTGAAGGGTAGGTCAGGTGTGTGAGTTAATCCCCACTGGACAGCAGCGGAGGAATTGACCCAGGAACTAATGGAGGGTGTGTGTCTGTCTGCATGGCTGCAGAAATGGAGAGGCACCTCGCGAGCTGTTGCACAAAGTCCAGCCAAGAGGAGGAAGGAGGAGGAGGAGGAAGAGAAGCAGAAGCAGATGCAGGAAGTGAGAGGTTATTGGAGCAGCAGCAAAGGGAAAGCACAGTCGGTGGTCGCCTTTTACCCATGTATGTCACACATCAGGAGAAAAAGCTCACAGCTACTGGAACAAGGCCTGCATTTCAAGTTGCATCATCACAATCTACTCAAATCCCAAACACAATTTTATCTGAGGACATTGGACACTGACTTAAGCATTCAGGGTTCTACCTTTTGCTCTTGAAAAGCAGGTTGTTTTTTTTTTCCATGCAAGACATATGAGAGTGTTAAGACTCACCAACACAAGTCTTCCCATCTGTGTGCAGGACAAACTTCATGTGGCAGGAACACTTGGGGCCGTGGTCTGTTTCCTCACAGATGTGCTGGCAACCACCATTCCCATAGTTACACGTCACTAGCAAAGAGCACACATGAAATCAAGATTACATGGACTTTTATTCATAAGGAGATCTGTGTTGGGTTTTTTTTCTGAGAAGAGACAAATAAATGAGGAAGGGTTTCTTAGGTCTAGAATTTGTAATCGGTCCGCACAAGCTAGAATTTGGCTCCGTATTAATTTGGAAAGTCATCAGCCGCGAGAATCACTCAATCTTCAGCTATCGTCATGAGCTTTGGCTAGTTCAAGACAACGTTTAGTTGTCAAATGTACAGTAAAAACACAACTGTGGCACGGGAATTGCACAATGAAATTATTTGCTAGTCTCCTTCCACTTATACAATCAAAACATATAAAGGATGAAAAAGAGAGCCAATTAAAAGAATCAGAGAATACTGAAGGAGAACGGGGGTTGGGGCCTGGCAATGTACCCAAGTGCAATTCAAAAACAACAACTTTTTTAAAGAACAGTCTGTTCCAGTTAGGCAGTGGTAATTATCAAATTAGTGTATTTGTCTATTGAAATATTGCAAGTGACAGAGGTACGCGACCAGGATTACAAAAGACAATGACTGCACAGTGTGGTTGACAGTTTGTGATGTCGTTTGCTCGGCAGTCTGATGATGTGTGGGAAGAAGTTTTTTTTTTGCTTCTGGCTGTGCTGATCCTCGCCTCTTGCAGATGAAAGAAGTTTGAAAAATGCGGGTTGGGGATGCGTGCCGTCTCTGATGATGTTCTGTGCATTCTTTGTGGCACGGTTGTCATACGTATACTGTATGTGGTGTCGTGGTGAGAGGCTGTGCCACAGATGTGTTGTACATTTTTAATGACACGTTGCAGAGTCTCCCTGTCCCGTACGGCATAGTTCCCCCACCAGACTGCGATTGAATTGGTCAGGATGCCCTCCACTGTGAATCTCGAGAAGTTGCTGAACAGTTTCTGGGGAATTGGGAAATCTGGTTTTCTGTCACTTCTCAGCCAGCCTGCTTGAGATGACAGTGTTGAATGCAGTGTGTCCGAGACTGCCTTCTTGAAGTGTGTCTTTACTACTTTCTCAAAGCACTTCAACACGACTGAGGTGAGTGAAATGGGCGGTTGGTGGGCACAGATCAGTGAATGAGGGACAGGTTAAAGATGCCTGTAAACACCTTTGCCAACTCTGAAGAGCTCACGCTCGGCCAGGCATGTGAACAGTTACTCCTCAGCACTTTACACGCCTCTCCTGATGATGAAAGAGAGCGGGAGCTTTGCCTCTGTTGCTACAACCACACTGCGTTGGTCAGTAGTGAGTGAAGAAACTGCTTGCTGTTGCTGCCGGGAATGATGGCGCTCCTCTGCTGTCAGAGGTTTGTGATGTGATGGAGGCCTTGTCATATGCGTCTGGAGTCAGCGGTGTAGTCGTCTTGCCACAGTTTCGGTCGGTACTGTCCCTCGGCTTCTCTTTTGGATCTGTGGAGGTCGATTCGAGCAAAGAGTAGGAACACGGTGGGGACAATGTTGATGCACGTGCCAAAGTATCCTGTGACGACTGAGGCATATTCAGTCCTCATTCACAGTGGCAGTCTTTAAACACAGCCCACTCAGTAGGAGTAGTCCTGAAGTACAAGGTGAGTTTCTTCTGCAAAGGTTTTTTTGCAGAGCTTCCTGTAGGCTGAGTAGACGAACCCGGATATGTGGTCTGTTTGTCCAAAATGGGGCCTCGGCACAGCCTTTTAGGCATCCATCACGTTGCTCTAAACTTGGTCCTGCGGGTTAGATCTTCAATACTTTGGAATCTTCAAGAATATTCAACTTTTAGGTACAAAAGCTTTGATGTTTTGGTAGGTTGTCATAGAACATATCACTCAAATGACACTCGTGAACTGAAGGGTCTGAAGTCAGACTAATATTGATCTAACATGAATGGTAATTCGTGGACATATGAATTTTCATATCAACAAAAGATGTGCAAAAGTGAAAAATGTGCAAGTGGAATCACATCACAAGAAGCACTCGTCATCATGATCGCAGTTAATTTTGCCCCATTTCCTGAACACTTCACATCAGCTTGGTTTCCCTCGAAACTAAGGACAGGTCAGCATTTGTTGGTCTACGCGTGGGTACACATTGACGACTTTAGAATGTTTTTAAGTCCACATTTCTGCTCCGGCTGCTGAAGGAAGCCTCCGCTTTGGCACTTTTAACACACCTGTGATGACAGAGTGAAAAAAAGTAGCGGGGCGCTTCGGCTTCCACCACCATCCTGTCTACACTCGAGCATCGCAGCCCCTTTTGCCCTTTTCCTGGGCTGTCACAGAAAAACTATAGAATCACACTTCTCCAGTCCTTGTCCAAACACAGACAAATCCCCCATCAACCGTGGCCCCGGTGCTGACAGGATGATCTTGGTTGCACAGCAACAGGAAGTGTGTGCTGTCCGTCAGTGCGGTCCCCTTCGCATAACCTCCACACTTGCCCTGGTTGTGTAAATGATCATTCCCTATTTGACAAACATGCTTTTCTTGATGAGGACCGTTTAGGAGATTAGTTCCTGTCCGGTAATATAATGTCAAGGTCTTCTTTGAATCTATCCTGAAGGTATTGGTGGAATGAGTGCAATTATCCATCATCGGCAGATTTGTGTGTGTGCCAGGGAAGTGAACTATGAGTTTGGCCTTACATTTGCAGTCCTTCATGTTACGTGTGAGCTGGAATCCAGGTCGACATTCGCAGGAGATGCCACCCTTCTGTGTTTCCCTGCAGATGTGCGCACAGCCATGATTCTTGTCCATGCAGGTGGGACCCTCCTTTGTTCCTTCCGGTCGCACTGTAAAGCAAAAGCAGAGAGTTTTTTTCACTCCTTGCACGTCACGCAGATTTCACGCTGCTTTGCGTGGCTGAAACAATGTCGGTTTCAAATGATCAGTGCTGGTTGAGCGGAGTAAAAATGTTCACCTCGCTGTCACATGCCCTAAAATCACATCTATGCCTACTGTTGGTGACTGACATGCACGGCAGCCCTTCGCACAGCTCTGAGCACTTGTTGGAACATGCTCACTTGTTTCAGGATATAAAAAGGAGGCTGCCGACGGAACAAGGATAAAACTCCCAGCAGGAGCTGATCCTGTACACTTGTAATTTTAATTGAGGTAATCACCGTAAAGGAAGGAAAGGTGGAGGGGGGGGGGGGACTCTCTGTGGAAACACAGATCAAAAGAGACTAAATAAAGATGTCAAGGTATCTATCCTTTTAAATGTCGGCAAGTTTAAAGTGCTTCAGTAAGGTGAGGAAATGTGACACTTGGCCTACATGGCATAAATGAGGCAGAATATGTATGTGATTAAATGTAGTGTAGTGTATTGTAAAAGTGTTGGAAGAAGGTGGGGGGGGGGCGGGGGGGCCCACTACATGATCTCTTCCACTTGGGACAAGGATGTCGTATTACACGAGTCCTTGGCTGGAGAAGACTGACATTTGATGTATTTGTTGTGAACCCCCAGCGTCACCACAGACAAAGTGCCATACCCCAGCTCCCTGGCTCATTAAAAACCAAACAGATCTTGTCTCCTGCTCTTCCTCGTGTGGTGCACAAGGGAGACGGTGAGCACCAAGACATCTCCATTTACGTCTCATTAAATCTGCTGCCGCTCCGAAGGGCATTTGGAGGGCTGACTTCCATAATAAACCAACATTTTCCTCTAATTCTAATGGTTTATGTGTTGCATTGTAACCTTTTAAAGCTTGTATAACCTTGTGCATTCTTACTCTTTAGACTTGCGTGTGCTTGTCGTACAGTTCCTGACTCAGGGGCTACAAAAGGGAACAATCTCAGCATGCCGGAAACAGGCCTAATTGCATATTTATACACTTTCACTCCAGCTAGCATAACCAGTGTTGACTCTGTTCTTCTCTTTTTATGCAACTCAACTCAATCCGACTGAGACTATTTTGAGTCCGAAATGCTTCAGTGCATATTTTCAAAAGGTTTCATTGGAAAGGACCCCAAAATATGTGACTTGTGCCGTCTTAGTTTTTGACACTCTGGTTTCAGCTTTGTTTACGCGGCGTGGAGCAAGGTATGCTGCTGTCTGTTGATTGGTCGTCAGAGAATTGTCACTTCCATATTGATAACGGTAGCAGAACCAAAGTAGGATTCATTTTCAATTCTGGAGTTTCAAGGGTTGGAGCAGCCCACTTAAATTCTCACTGTTTTAATGAAGATGTAAAATATTTGCCTTCTAAGTGTATCAAAATGGTGATTAAATGATCAGAAATCAAAATTACAACTTGATGCATTTCATCAGTGTTTTTTGAACATGTTTGAGAACGTAAATAGTTCATATAGATAAAAGGACAAAAACGGCCCAAGAGGCAAGTGCGTATAAGATCAGATAAGACGCTTCGCAGTTGACAAGGCAGATTTGTCAAGCGCTGTCCAGGCAGCAACATTTAGGGAGAGTACACAGACCGTCCTGTTCCTTTTGTAGATGTATTCGTGACGGAATGCCATTTGTTTATTTTTGAGGAAAACACGGGAACATTCCATTGGTTGAGCACATTTTAATCATGTGCATCCGATGTACATGTTCAAATTAAGTCAATCCAAAGGATCATTTTTTTTCCCAGTGTATGAATCAGCGTCATGATATTATGAAAGGGGCTGACATTCTAAATTCTGTGGATCATGTTGGAAATTGTTGGTTATCTGTGTATCTTCTCGAGGGTCAGAGTGAGAAACCAATGAGAGAAAACAAGCGATAAATCCATGAACTCAACACAGGGTTGAAGTTATATCCAAGTCACCCCACTGGAGTGAAAATTACCAACTGAGGTTATATTATGCATCCCAAAACTCACATCAGTCCCTCATCATTTTTATACTGCCTTGCTACCCGAATGCTGCAGACCCATCCATCAATAACACGCCGGTCTCAGGCCAGAACCTCAGCCTTCCTCTCTCTGAGGACCAATAAAAGTCACAGTGTTGACACAATGGACCTTTTCTCCGGGCCAAGCACAGCTATCATCCGCACAGTGCCGTCCTCTCGAACTTGCTCCAGCTTTTTTATCATTACTAAGTGATGGGAAGCAGAAAGAAAAACAACCCTTAATTTGAACACGGATGGGAAAGTGAAAGGGAAAAACAACTCAAGATATGAACCGCATTCCACTAGAGCAACATGCTTGCCCATATACAGCCTACGTGTGGAAACTAATAAAGCTCACACCTTTTAATAAATAGACAGGTAGGCGAGACTTACGACTTCAGCATATTAAGATTAAACGGGAACAAGCAGCAGTGGAACAAGAGTGAACCATTGCATGTAAATAAAAGAGATTACAGCAATTAGGCGTGAAAACAAGTGGGAGCGTTCACTCAGGAACTTCTTATTTCTCCCCGTGACAAGGTCATGACCTCTGAACCTGAAGCGCTACTCAAAGCTAATAAATTCCTTTCATGTAGCTCATGGCTCGGCTCCACCATCTGTTTGGAAATGTTCTCCCGCTGATAAGGAGAATGGTACTCTCATATCAAGCCAGCATTGCTCAGTCCAAAAGTAACACATCTTTGTATGCACGGCACCGCAGCCAATCAATTATATGATGAGAAGTTGTATGATTGTTTGTTGAAACCACAACCGTTGAGACTCCATGCACACACACACACACACACACACGCACACGCACACGCACACGCACACACACACACACACACACATTATATAAAAGCATGTTAGCGTGTCGGCCGCATAGTGCAGAGGTGCAGGGTTTGATTCCAGCTCCAGTTGTCCTGTGTGTAGTTTGCATGTTTGCGGGTTTTCTCCGGGTACGCCGGTTTCCTCCCACATTCCAAAAATATGCATGGCAGGTTAATGGAACACTCGAAATTCTCCCTAGGTGTGATTGTGAGTGGCGATGGTTGTATGTCTGTGTGTGCCCTGCATTTGGCTGGCAACCGGTTCAGGGTGCATTCTGCCGACTGCCCGATGACAGCTGGGATAGGCTCCGGAATGCCCGCGGCCCTTGTGAGGTAAAGCGGATAAGAAAATGGATGGATCAAGATATTGCTGTGAAATAGTATTTGCCGCATGCCTGATTTCTCTGTTCTTCATATTTATCACACACAAAGTTCATCAAACCAATTTTAATATCACACAGAGACTGTCCACGGAAAAATAAAATGCAGTTTCTAAATGCCAATTTAAGAAAACTCAAAAAAACTACCTGTCTCTCAGTGAAAAAGCAATCACCCCTCTCCTCTTGATAAATCACAAAGTAACTGTGACTAACGATAGTTTTGTGAAAGCTGAGTTCAATTTCACAGGCAACACCCTAGCACCACATTTGTTGACTCAGATAATCATATAAATGGAGGTGATGTGGGCTACAAGATCTCAAGAAACAAACGCATCATGCCACAATCCGACGAAATTCAAAAAGAAATTACACAAAAAGTTTTTGAAATTTATCAGTGTGGAAATGGTTATTAAGCCATTTCCAAGACTGTGGGGCTCCAGCTAAACACTGTCAGAGTCATAATCCATAGATGGGAAACTGGGAACAGTGGCAAACATTCCCAGCAGTGATCGACCAGCTCAAATTACTCCAAGAGTGCGACTATGACTCATCCAGGAGGTTGCAAAAGAACCTAGAACAACACCCCCAAAACTCCAGACCTCGCTGGTCTCAGTTCAGGTCAGTGTTCACCACTCTACCATAAGAAAGACACTAGCCAAAAATGTCATCCATGGTGAAACCCACTGCCTTTCCATGAAGAGCCAAAAGGCTTGTTTCACGTTTGCCAAACGGCATCTTGGTGATCCTCAAGACTTCTGGAAAAGAATTCTGTGAAATGATGAGTCAAAAATTGAAGGTTTGTGCCTTAACAAATTGAATTGTCATTTGAAAACTTCATTTTGTATTTCCTTGGGTTGAGTGATATTAAAATTGGTTTGATAATTTAAAACCTCTGTGTGTGATAGATATGCAAGGAAAAAAAACTGAAATCAGGAATAATCTCAGCTAATGTACCCAAGAGTGAAAATTGGGATATTTGTGTATTCTAATCCTATACGATACTTATTCCTCTTTAAAATGATGTACAATACGTGGAAGTAGTTAAAATTTTGACAAAGTTACAACAATTTCAACCTTGGCAGGTTGAAATCCCTAATTTTGAGAAAAATCACATTTAAAGTTTTGGCAAAGGTCCATGGCAACCAGTACCTTCGGAAAAAAATATTGATCCCCAAACCTTTGGGAAATGTTGAAAGACCACTGGAAAGTCAATTCCAACAGCAAGTAAGGACATCATCTGAGATTTTAACCTATTAAAATCTGAGGAAGTTTGACATCTCAACAAATGAAATCGGGGCAAAAATGATGATTTTGGCCTCAATCCCATTAAGATTTCACTTCATTTCCTGAGCTATCATGTGTGCAGAAAAGTGGTTAAGTTTGAATGACTGTCTGTGTCTTATGTGTTGTGTTGTATTATTTTGTTATTCTATTATTATGACTTCAAGATGGCGCCGCGAGAGTGGCTGCCTTTACAGCAGCTCCTCTGCTTTTTGTTCTTCTACTTTCTTCCTTTCATAACTTTGCTGCTGTAAATTGGTAATTTCTCCATTTTGAGACGAATAAAGGTTTTCTTATTCTTATTCTTATTCTGAAGCATAATACATAGCGAACAAAGCAACGCTGCCAATATGCGCTGCGTGGATTACGGGCTGGGTTTTAGAAGGACAACCACAACTATCATCCTTTCATTTGCAAACTTACGAGTGTTGATCCATCCACCCATCCATCCACATTTAATATATGAA